CCAGCTATTAAAGGTCCGGCTTTAATGTGGTAGTAGCGCGAGCCTTCTTTTGAGGCTTTTCGTACAATTAGAAAGCAGCTATTTGAGGCGTTTTGGGGCTTATCGGGGACCCCGATGAATAGCAGCCATTTTCCATTGAAAGGGGCCTTTGGCGTTGACAGGTAGACCTGATACCCTTGGTGACGGTCTTGTCAACTACCCGTCAGCGAGTTGCCAAGAAGCACCCCGTATGTAATTGGTGGGTGGATGGGATACAGTGACGGTGTTTTGCCCTCGGTGTTGGTAATCTGATGGACGAAATAAACCCACGGCCGTCCTAAACCAAACAACCTTCCAGCGCTCCTATCCCAAACCCAACCCACCCCCTCAGTCAGTTGTCGACCTCATGTCGCTCCAAACGCATCCAGCTACACTTTGGCGTCTAACGGCGGTGTGCTATTTGCACGTTGTGGCTGACAGAATCTGAAAGTGGCTGGTTATACGGAAGACTTATGCTGGTGGACGATGGATTAGCCGGCGAAAAGACGGGGACTGCACCCGTTTGTTCCACGTAGGACAGCAACATGTTTTTCATGAATGGTGGATTATAAAACCATATTTGGAGGAACGCCGTGAACAAAATATAACGCAGCTATAACTCGGTACGTTGCCTTTGTAATTGGGAGTATAATATGTTAGGGCCCACATGGTCACGTGGTACCTTCTACTAGCTTATAATTTAAGCCTTAATTTTCGTACGATTAATACCCTTTAATACTAATTTATATTTCAATAAAATCTCTCTTTTATATTCCTATAATATAAGCTATAGCTAAGCTTATAGCAGCTTTAATTACCTTAAAACGCTATTTTTCATAGCTATTATATCATAATAACTATTAATAGTCTTTATAATAAATTACTAAGTAACTAAAAGAGCCTTTTAATGCCTTTAATAAGCATAAATATTAACCTAATAGTTATTTATAAGAATTTTAAGTCTCTTAAATTAAACCTTATTAAGGTCTATAATTATTATAGCCTTAAGGTTAATATTATTAGATTAAGGTTTTTTTAAAGGGATAATAGCTACTTTATTAGGCTATTAAGAGTTAATTAAATGCTAAATACCCTAATTAATAGCGTACTTTTTAATAATAAAAATCTATTAAAACTAGCTTTTTAAACCTATTAGGGTTATTAATAAAGAACCTTAAATATTTATAGCTAAGTTAATTAAGTCTTTTATTAAAGACCTTAAATGTATTATAATTTAACGCTAAAATATCTTAAATTTAATGGTAAATTAAGCTTATAATTATCACGTTAATAGCTATAAAAGTAAATTAAATAATAGAATTATCCTTAATTAAAGCTATTTAAGTACGAAAAATAGGCCCTTATTTATAGATATTAAGGTCATTTAATAGGTTACCTAGAAAGTAATTAATTTAAGGGGTTCTATGGTATCCAGCTATTAAAGGTCCGGCTTTAATGGGGTGGTAGCGTGAGCCTTCTTTTAAGGCTTTTCGTACAATCGAAAAGCAGCTATTTGAGGCGTTTTAGGGCTTATCGGGGTCCCCGATAAATAGCAGCCACTATTTGAGGCGTTTTGGGGCTTATCGGGGTCCCCGATGAATAGCAGCCATTTTCCATTGAAAGGGGCCTTTGGCGTTGACATTATGACTGGACCATTTATTACGACCAACACCTGGACTGTGGCATGTGACTGTACAGACGGTGGGCAGCAGGAGGCTCTGGTTTTTGACTCAGTAACTCAATAATTTATTAACTAGCCCTCTCATGAACCAAGTGATGACCGGTGTGTCTAACAGGTTGCCGAAATAGTGTATAAGCGACAATCGTTGTATGCAATCGACAGGCATCAACTGAGCCTTCTGGAGTAGAGCCTTCGATATTTCAAGACTCGAGTACTCAAGTGCTGCGATTCCCCCGCTTGGGGCATGTCTACCCACTCCTACACAACCTTGAAAAGGCCTGGCTGGTTTCGTTCCCCCGTTCCCTCCAACTCGGCAGCAAATTGGCACGGCATCGTCCGAAACCGACGCGCGGCATATCAAATTGTCCACTCCGTTGCTTTCCCAATATGCAGATAATCAACTCATTCGAAGCGGGCAAAAGGATCAATGGCAAAATCCACATTTACGTCAAAGTCATTGTCCAGCAAGACGGGAGTTACTACATGGGCAAATGGGACCATCGAAAGCATCTACCAGCTGAGTTTTCTCAGCTACAAGACGTCAAACTAATACCGACAAAAGACAGAGGCCCGGTCCCAAAGCCTACCTGGACGATTGCCCACCCTCAAAGCGACACTTTCTCGAAAACGCCCGCATTGGAAGATTACTTGGATCCAGAGCTCAAAGCAAGGACGGAGCACGAGATTGAAGTGTGCGAGCGTCTAAGGCAGCATCCGCACCCCAACTTGGCTCTTTACCACGGCTGCCTTATCACGCAGGGAAGAGTTTCAGGGCTCATCTTTAACAAGTACGAATGCAATTTACTTGAAAAGGTTAATCCCTAACGTCTATTAAAACGAGACTTTATCTCCAGTGGTTGACCTCTTGTCCGGGATTATATGAAAGGCTGGGTTACGTCCCTGCGCAGCGCACTTGGACACTTGCACTCATTCGGTCTCGTGCACAATGATGTGACGCCCGCAAATATCATAATGAACGCTGGCGGCTCACCGGTATTCATTGATTTCGGTAGCGCATGTTGTCGAGGAGAGCTAATGAAAACTACCAAACGTACCAGAGGGTGGCATAATGAGAGTGTAACTCATGCAGTCATACAAGACGATCTTGATGCCCTTGCCGAGTTGGAAACTTGGCTGTTTGGGTCTTCGGTCGATTTCAGGTTCGATGGATGATACTTGCGAGAGTAGTCATAGTTCAATATTGTTTAGACATGTGCTTGTGATAGTTTATGGCGTCGCATGTTAGGCTAATGACTCATGAGTTCTTGCGAGGGCACATTGCTGAGATGCTCTGCAAAATCAGTACATTATCATACCAACGGACACTTCAGCCGTCCAGTGCTACTAGGCGAGCTCAAACTAAATATGACAGAAATGTTATTTTGCGAATACTTTCATCGGCGACATAGGCCTGTCTCGTCATGGGTTCCTGCTCTCTGCTTTCATGGATAATCCATCGCCTATGCTACGATTGCCCCAGGTCCCTGAGCAATACCTGTCCCCCTTCATTCAAATTGGGATAATTTTCAAGCGTGAAGAAATCGCTAAAGAAGCGGAGCGCCTCTGTGCATTCCGGCGAATATTTCCGTAGCAATGTCTTCCATTCCCTGTCCTCCTCTCCCGAGCTAATTCCTGTGCGGGCGAATTCCCACCAAACCCTCAAGCTGCACTCAGCGTCTCGCCCGGAATGCGCTTCGTGATGATTAAATGACGTCCATCGTCATCGTTCCAGTCCTCGACAACCGCGGGCAGGGGGGCGGTGGTTTGTTCTTTTGGAAAATGAATGTTTGCAGCCTCGAAACTGGGAGGACTGTCAGACTGTTGTTTGAGGACCAGTTTCGATCCTAGTGACCGTGCTCCGCGATCACTGGCTCCGTAAAAGAGCTTCACATGGCTTTTATAGCTGCAAGATTTTTGTAATTTAGAAGTCTAGCTGCACGCTACACAAGGCAGTTTGGCAGCCATGCTGATAAAATAATTACAAAACTTTATTACTTGTAATATAATTGATAATATTATATGAAATAAACGTTTCTTAATTACATCTCTTAGGCTTTATATAATCAAGGAAAGAGTTAAGCTTTAATTATTATATCATAATTGCCTTTACGTCAACTACCCAACTTCGTGTTTCGTCTTACACTCTGTGACACGTAAAGCATAATACTCTGTCAGGTAGCAGATAGCAGTAACATCCCCCACTTGGTTTGTTGCGACGAGCAAAATAATGTGTGGTGGTATAAAGCGAACTCGTATCGCTAACGGCTATGATGGCAGAATAAAGTTTGCGGTGCCTCGCATCGCCACTGCTACGTACGACCGTGAGGGCAAATAAACGCCATCAGGATGGGGATGTTGTCCGCAAGAAGTGTCCTGACCATGGGTAGTCCGCGACTACTGGACGGGATATTTAGGATGTCTCGCCGAAGATGGCAAAATCTGTGTCGCTGTTGGCATTGTAGAACAGTGGACTGTATTGAACGCTAGGGGCTGCACCCCATGAGTGACAATCCACCAGGAGAGGTATAAGGCTGGAACTCTACATCAAGGCGGCTGGAAGAGGGTCAACGAAATAAAATTGCCTTCTATGGATCGCTGATAGCCTTATCATATGCTGTTATGATGGCACGGGGTCTATAAAGTTGGTCTGGGTCTCCTGCAGGGGCCCCAAAGCTCATCCTCTCATCTTCGTCAAGTGGGAATAGGATCTTTCCAATTCTCAGACACAGTCGCTTGACGACATTTAAAGTTTCTGGGAATTCGCCTATTATCCCTTCAAATTTAGTATTTAAAATATAACATTATTAAATAATTTTTATTTAGCTTATTTTTAATTAAATAAATTAATAAGTTAAGTAATATAATATTATAATTTATTCTTACTTTAAAGAGATATAAATAATATAACCTATTATTCAGGGGATATTATTGCTTAAATAAGTAATTTCTTTGAATTTCGGGTTTCCTTAAACCCCGACACCATGTATACTCCGTGGAAGTCCAACGGATTGCGCTGGCAAAGCATGGCTGACTCAGCGATGACGCGGCATTCGCAGCAAGAGGCATCTCAATTCCGGCCGACAAGTTCAACAGCACACCCCAAACCACACGTCTCAGATGCTCTGCATACCCAATTCCGACCCAACTTCATGTCTTGAATAACGGTTATGTCTATACCCCATTTGACAGGCTTGTTCAACACGATACAAGACCGGAATTTAATCGCTGTGGCGCTCAAATCCACCAACGCCGCCCAGTCGGGGTTTGGCTGTCAATCACAGCAACAGCTTCACACCAATGGCATCTACAATCATTGGAAAAGCTTCCGCCGACGGTATTTCTGCCGGATACGGCCGTTCATGTACTAACTGTTCTCGGGCAAAATGCAGATGCATCCTGCGGTCCAGGGGTGGTAGCTGTGAAAGATGCCATCGGCTTGGGAAAGATTGCCACCAGATTGAAACGACGAGGAAGCGGGTAGCCAAGAAAACGGCATCTTCACGTACTGCGCAACTCGAAGAGAAGATTGAAGACCTGGTGTCAATGCTGAGAGCTACCCATGATTCTCGGACACGCACTAACCACTCGTATACCCCATTGTCCAACACACCGTCACAACCTTTTGCGAGTCGATTGGACTCGTTGGCGGCTGCCGCTACAGCGGATCCAACTCGGTCACAAGCACAGGGAAAGGCCAGTTTGTGCGCGGCTCACGAGTGCATCGCATCGGACCTGTCGCCTAGCCGGAATACATCAACCCTCAATGACGCAGATAGGCGGCCAGAACCAACCCCAGAGGAAGCCGAGGCTTATTTCGCCAAGTTTAGACAGTGGCTGGAGGCGTCGCCATTCATGCACATACCCATGGAGATGTAGGCAGCAGCACTGCGAAGAGAAAGGCCATTTCTGTGGATGTGTATTATGAACTTGACATCCATGTCGATACCACAGCAGCGTATACTGAGGGAAAAGATTCGGCGAGAAGTTGCCGATAGATTAGTCTTTGAAGGCGATCGAAGCATGGACATTCTACAAGGCCTGGTTGCCTTTTTAACGTGGTAAGTCCAACTCGATTCAGTTCTAGGCTGTTGATTGTAGCTGTAGGCGGCTCCGTCTAACTGAGCCGGTAACAGGGCAACGATGAATGCGGGGCCGGGAATGAAGCCATTTTTGATATTGTATGCGACTTTGGCACAGTCAATTGTATTTGACATGGGGCTTACCAGATCCCCTGCCGAAGAGCAACAGTCCACCATGTACTTCAAGACATGGAGTGCCCGTCCCCCGCCACCGCCCAGAGTGCCCAGAGTGCGGACCATGGAGGAGCGCAGAGTCGTTCTCGGCCTCTGGCTGGCAATATCAATGTAAGTTGAGGGACCTCTTTGCAGTGACTGAGTTTAGTGCTCATGACGGCATAGCACCACGTCATTTATCGGGAAAATGGAGACGCTTGCTTGGACAGCTCATATGGACGATTCTCTAGCAGTCCTGGAACACGAGAATGAGTATCCATCAGATGCCGTTCTCGCCACCATGGTCAAGATCCAACTTGTTGGAGAAGAAGCCCAAAGGTTGATGCGCAGCAAAATAAACGAGTGCAGCCAAAATCCAACGTACATTTTGAAACCGGGCTTGGTATCACGGTTAAACGATATCCGCAGCCAGCTACCAGATGGCCTGGCCAACAATCGTACGTTCACCTCTCAGCACCCCTTTCCTGTCAATCTCGCAGCCCATTACACAGCAGTAGTTAATGCAAAGAAAACTTTCAATAGGCCATATTCTTCTGCTTCTTCACTGCACAGAAAGCCTCGTCCACTCTATTGGCTTGTTCACCGAGCAAGGCATCCCCGAGCCAGTTCGCATTAACAGCATGTACTCCTGTACCAAACACGCAAAGGCATTCTACGACATTTTTTTTGCCATCCCAGCCGCCGAGGTTGCTGGACTACCGTTTGCTGCGTATGTGGAAATGTCCCATATGCAGGCTAATCTCTACAGGCTGACTACTGTTGAGGACAAGGCTTGGGACAAGGACATTCTGAAAGTTACAGCCGACTTACTGTCTCTCCTGGACAAGACAATTGAGCTATTTTACAGGGTGGATGAGGTGTACCCGATCAGAACAGATGACCATGATGGCACACTCTTTACCAAGGGAGCCAAGATTCTGCGAAACTTGCGAGCCTCGTGGGAACCAATCTTGGCACCGTACCTCCGGGACGTGGCGTTGCCTACGCCCAAGAGCCAAGGTCAGGCGGTCAGCACGGCGATCAACGCCATGGACGAAGCAGGTACGCATGAGGGCTTGATTGTTGACGGCGTAGCTGACCCAACCGCCGTGCTGGACTTGAGCGATATGACCTGGATGTCAGATATATTTGGGCCATGGGACTACTAAAGTTATGAACGATTTCTAGACTATATGATACCACGAATAAGAACGAAAGAGACATGCCATGATTTACTTGATACGATTACTTGAATAATTCGTCATTCTGCAATGTCCGCCATGGTCCGGAACGTGATCTTTCGTGTCCGTATGACAGTGGGGGCCAGCTTGTCGCCGTGGGCAAAGCTACGATCCATCTCACTTGCATGCAGCCTTCCATGGAAACATGAAATAGTTGCTACATCCCCATAGAGGAAACCATACACTTCATTTTGGGTCTCGGAAGGATTCCGTCGCGAAGCGTTCGACTCGGCGTGGTATATCCCACCTATATCCACAACCACCTCGTCTCGATCCCGGCCCAAGGCCCTTGCCGACTCTTTCAAAAAGAAATAACCAAGGGCCGCTGGCCTCACAATAACTAATCTGAATGGCAACTCATGCCCTACAGGAACTCGTTCCTTCTCATTTGTCCATTGCGGAATACCTGGACGAAAAATTCCGACTATCCGCCTTGCCGCCGCTGGAGTTTGACCTCGGGCACGATGAAAAGCCCAGGAGCAGTGCCCGACGGACGTGGACATGTTCGGAGTAGAGAAGGAAGACTTGGAGGTGGAGTACTTCTATGAATGTAAGTTATTCACTCTGATGATGGCGATAACGCTGGCGACATGACTGGCGTTACTGGACATGTCCATCATCGTCACAGTGTGCGGGTTCCGGGGAAGGGTTGCACAATGGAAGCCGCGGGTAAACTTTGACAGGCCATCCTGCGAATCACTACGTATTTTCGTTCGCTACCCGACGTCGGGTGGTACGGCGCTGCGTATGATTTATCGAGGTGTGTGCCCGTCTTACACCGGAGGCGACGTGACAAGTGCGTCGCTTCAACCGCTTTCGGGCAAATTTTACACCTACTTCAAGACAAAGGTAACGGATATCGTCAAGACGATTTCGTAAATCGCGGAGGGACAAACTAACAGTTTTTTGCAAGTGGATATTTCTCGCTTTCCTGCTGTTTCGTTCCAACTAGGGTCCCTGATATGCGGCATCGCCAGCTCCTCAACCATGTTCATCCTCGGCGGAGCGGTTGCCGGCCTGGGGAGCGCCGGTCTCGAAAACGGCGCAACTACAATCATTACAGCCGCTGCGCCGCTCGAGAAGCGGCCGGCGCTCATGGGCATGGTCATGGGCGGATGTCAAATCGGGCTTGTGGCCGGGCCGCTCGCCGGCGGTGCCTTGACCGAGTACAAGAGCTGGCGATGGTGCAAGTTCCCATATCCCACACCAACACACCCTTCTCAACTCCAAAGGGATTGGCAAGACAACGCCAAGGCTTCTACATCAACTTCCCCGTCGGCGGTCTTGCCGCACTCGTCATCATCCTCGTCGCCATTCCGGACCGTCGCATCCGCATCCCCGGGGGCGCATGGGCAATTGTCAGGCACAAGTTTGACCTCCCGGGCTTTGCGCTCTTCGCCCCCTGCGCAATCATGGTCTTGCTCGCTCTCGAATACGGCGGCAATGCATACCCACGGAGCTCGGCCACGGTCATCGGCCTGCTGATGGGCGGCGTGGCCACCCTTGGTGTGTTCTCGTGCTGGGAGAGGCGGGCGGGCGACGATGCCATGATGCCGCTGACCATTATCCGCAGGCGGGAGACCTGGACGGCGTGCCTGACCATGGTTTTCCTGTTTGCTGCCTTGTTCGGAGCGAGCTATTGCCTGCCGATTTACTTCCAGAGCATAAAGGCCGCGAGTCCGTTCCAGAGCGGGCTGTACATCCTGCCGAGTATTTTGACGCAGCTCGTGTTTGCCGTGGCTTCTGGTTTTCTGGGTCCGTTTTCCCAATCGACTCTGCTTTCCTACGAGCTGCTTGACTTTTTCCATCAGACACGAGCGGCTAATGAGGGCGCGCCCAAGGCAGAAAATAGGATACTACCTCCCCTTTGCCGTCGCTTCGGCCGTCATTGTCAGCATTGGCAGCGGTCTGCTCGCCACGCTCGACCTCTTCACCCCGACTGCGACGTGGGTAGGATACCAGATCTTTGTAGGTGCCGGACGCGGACTGAGCATGCAAATTGCACTTGTGGCGATTCAGGCCAACACGCCTCCGCCGTTGGTTGCCATGGCCATTGCCACCATGGTGTTTTGCCAAACGTTTAGCGGAGCCATGTTTATCGCCGTCGCCAATACCATCTTTAACGGCACGCTGAAAAAGCAGATGACGAGCACGATCCCTTCCATGAGTGCGGAGGAGAGTGTCAAGGCTAGCGCGACAGGTGTGCGCAATGTTGTCGGGCCAGAGTTCTTGCCTGCTGCGCACAGGTCGTATGCCATGGCCTTCCAGTCGGTGTTTTATCTTGCTGTCGGATGGCCGTTTGCATGTTTGTCGTGGCGTGGGGGATTGGGTGGAGGGATATAAGAAGGAAGAAGGATTTGGTTGAGGGTCGTGCGAGATGTATTTGGGGCAGGGTTTTGTGTAAGTGTTAGGGTTAGGGTTACGGAGAAGGCATTCCGGCCGAGTGGCAGAGAATATCTCTCATGGCCTCGGCCGTCTTTCATTTTCTAGACTGCAGTGATGTTGGGTGCTATTTTTGTACAAACTAAATATTCGTGTATAAAAGTATAGAGGGCGTGCTCTTTGTGAACTAGCGCGCGTGTAGTAAAAATAAAATAAAGTCGAACCATGGAGGCCCGGTGCCTGCTCCAGCTAGCCAAGACTCAGTCGGGACAACTTCAAATGTCAACGCCCTCGACTCACCAAACTTCACACCCCAACCAACATTGTTACATCTTCACCACCACGTGCTTTCCCCTGACTAATCGTCCGGACAGCCGTCTCCTGTGGTCCGCTATGAACAGGCCCAGAAACCGCCAACCGCGTCCGCCGCGCCAGGACAAACAAAATGCAACCCGTCCTGGTCCTACATCGCGAGGCTCCCCCGCCACGCCCCAACAGGCGGCGGGCACCGTCCCTACCGTCCAGCAAGTCATCCCAGGAGCTTCCGTCTTCATCATACTGAAAGAAGACCAGCCCACTGGCAAAGAAACCGCCGGCGTCGTCAGCCAGCTCCTCACTCGAGGCAACCACCCACGCGGCATTAAAGTGCGCCTGAGAAACGGCCAAGTCGGTCGAGTTCAGCGCATGGACACCGCGTCAGCGGCAACGCCTGTGGTTCCTGAGTACTCTTCCATACCGCATGCGCCGTCGCGCTTCACCCACCGTTATACAGATGTCCGAAACGACGTCGACTTTCCCTCTGAACCTCCGCACAGGAGCCTGGCAGATTTCCTCCCACCTCTACCGTCCGCCAGTCAGGCTGCTCCAGATATGAGCCATGGTTCAGATGCCGTGGTGAGCTACGTGGCCGTCAACTGCCCGTTTTGTGATTCATTTACGGGGGACGAAGCCGCCGTCACTCATCACATTGACCGCGAGCACTTGAGCTGAGCGAGAACCGGCGCCTGTTTTCCTCGCCAGCCCTGCTCCTTTGGCGCTGGGTATCCCGGCTCCTGCTAGAGCGTTTAAAAATCTCTTGGCAGCTTGATAAGCACAAGCACCGGGGGGGGGGGGGGGGGG